CCACTTCCCCACATCTATGCTGGGATTTTGTCTGACTTGAGCTTACACCAGACTTGTGTATTGCTGTTACCATTGCTATGAATTCATATGAATAACTGACCAGCTGTCTGAACTGAAATACTCTTTCCTTGTGGTCATCTACCACCTCTGGCTCTTACAGTCTGTCTGCCCCCTCTTCCACATTGATTCTTGAGCCTTGGGAGTTTGATATAGGTGTCCTAGTCAGGGGTAAGCAGTCTGAAGCCTTATGGTAAGTGTGTTTTGATGTTTATTGCTTTGAGGCCAAGGGGGAGATAAAAGAGAGTGAAATCGTTAGAAATGAAGAGGCCGCAGCGGGCTCCTGTCCCCTTCCATAGAGAACCACAGCGAGCTCCTTTCTCCTGGAGGAAATCCCAGGCTTCCTTCTTTTACAAGTGGGAGATTCATTCATGCATCTACTTAAGCTCTGCTTCTGAGAAGCCTTAGCTCCCATCAGTGTTGCTAGGCAAAAATAGTATTGTTTACTTAAACAGCTGAGATTAAGACCCAGGACTGCTTGTGGGAGTTTGTGGCCAACTTTCCAGAAAGGTCTCTTTCAGATAAGTGCTTCGAGCCTGGCAGTGACTTGTGGGAATAAAGAGGGGAAATCCTGGTTGGTGAGTATCTCCTGGGCTGGCAGACAGACATGGACACTAATGACACCTGGAATGGACTACCTCCCACTCAGGGCAGAAAAACCCAAACAAACCACACAAGGGGTGAGGGAGATGGAGACAAAGAAAACACAGTGAGCTGTCAGGAGCCAAGTGGCTCAGGGGTGGCAGAGGAGGGTGTAGGCCATCTAAGATACACTCAGGAAGCAGGGAAGCTGTGGACTGACCCGCCTGAGTCTCTGTAGCCAAGGGCAGTTCAAGGAGCATCATTTTCCCAGGCTCCAAGGTTCAGGTTCAAGAGGATCTAGAAAGGCAGAGTTTGGCTTTTCTAACTCCAGGCTCCCAGTCTACCTGAGGGGACTAAGAGGGTGTGTGTCTACATTCACAGGATGGCACCATGTTGATTCCTGAGCAGCTGGCGAGTTCCCATACAGTCAGATTCCCTCGGGGCCCTGACACTGTTCTAAGATCCAGGGAGAAAACGAATGGCTCAAAGAAGCAGTTGGCATCTTGTGTTCCTCTGGTGGGCCAAGAGGGCCGTGAGTCACTCAGGGCCTTCCTGTTCGTTTGTTTTTCCTGGAGTGATGTTCTTCCTTCCAGTGGCATCTTGGTTCACCTTTCACTTCTGTCCAGTCTCTGCTCAAAATCCACATCTTTGGAAAGTTGTTTCTGGCCATTCTATAACAATACCACCACCAGCAGCGCTCCACTCCCATCTCCCCATCCCTGTTTCCTAACTTTCCCTCACATTTCTCCTATAGAGCTGCCTGACGTTAAGATGCTGAGTGTCCAGCATAAGAGGGAAAGAACATGGAGACAGGACTTGGCTTTTATTAAACTGATGCTGGGGCATCTACCACAACACAGGGAAACAGGCACCCAATACATGGGAAAACCATAGGAAAGTCAGTAAATAAAGGAACAGACAACAAACAAGTGTAATGTGAGCAAGGCTGACCATCAGCAGCCATGTGTTGATGACTGATCTCAATGCCTTTGTCCTGAGTTTGAATTTCTAAGACATTTATGATTCTTAACTTGAACAAAGTTTTTCAAGATAATCACAGTCATAATTGATAATTTTGATTTTGAACCTGACTTTAAAATTTAAACTTTTCTTACAAGATATATTTTAAAAGATACATCTTACATGTTGATGGTACTTTAATTAACTTTTGTTGTTTTCTTCCATTTCAGTCGTGGCTGGGTATTATTTAAAGAAAAACAACTTTGAAGTCAGAAAAAGGTCATTTTGGAATCTTAACTATGATACTTGCTATCACATATTTCAAATCTCTGAATCTCAGTTTTGGCCACCTGTGAAGTGGAAATAAGCAAACTGTTCTCATGACCCTGAAACTTACTAGGCACCCCCAAATAGCAACTGCTGTTGTTACTGTTAATATTTCATCTCCTCAATTTATCTAGTATCACTGACAGGAGATAAGCCTAGTGTCAGCTCCCTTAAGGCAAAAAGAAGGTCAGCAGGGGACTGTGGAGAGGTGACTCAGAAGTTAAGAGCACTTGCTACTCTTCTAGACACAAGTTCAATTCCCAGCACCCGCATCAGGCAGCTCACAATGGCATGTAGCTACAGTTCCAGGGGATCCAACGCCCTCTTCTGGTTTCCACTGATACCTGCACAAATATAGCATATAGACACACAGCTTGGGCTACATAGTAAGACCAAGAAGAGGAGGAGGAAGAGAGGGCTTTAGGGTAATGGGAAAAAGAAGGAGAGGAGGAGGGGCGGGGAGGAAGAAAAAGAAGGTGGTTATGGCATGCCTTTAAATATTACAGGTTCATCCTCACCAGTCTCTAGGGAAGGGTGCTGTATATCCAGAGGCTGACTCTAAAGCTCTCTTAGGTGTTGGAGAACAGAATAGATGAATGAGGGAAAGAGAACCTTAGAGGCTAGTGCTAAGTTAACAGTTGTGTGAGCCCCATAGGATGAACCTTGCCAGGTCACAGACTCCTTTTCTCCTGGGGCTTTTTGCTTTGGACTCAGCTTTGTGAAAATCTGAGCAGACAGTTGTCTTAGATTTAATGAGGAATGATGGCCTCCGTGGATCACTGTGTGCTTCGCAGGCATATACTTGTTCTGCTGTTATAGCTTCAAAGAGTGCAGGGAGGTAAGCTCAGTACCAGGGAAGACGCTCAGGCAGATGTCAATGGTGTGCTGAGGTTAGGCCCTGGGATGCAGCCACAAAAATAATGAGGTGGGTGATATGTGGTTGTTATTGACCTCACCCATCTCGAAAGCAGCCACTGTCCAGGAAATCCTGTTTACATTCATGGGAGGATCCTGGAAATAGTGAATTCACCAGAGGGAATAAACATTGTCACATTACTTTTCAGGAAGACGAATGTTCTAGAAGGCAGACAATGTAAATACTGTGTAGCTGCCCTCCTTGAAAATGTTCCCAGTGGGTAACATCATGTGTCTGGAGTTAGAATCACACAAATTAAGATTAGCAGTTCTTCTGGGAAACTTGTGCTCATCACAGAACATTTAGGAATCAAGATGAAAACAGGAAACTTGAAGCGATTTTATAGTCTGTCTTATGACAGACTGAGACTCCATATGAGGTTTTACAAGTGACTTTAATTGTTTTTATTATTTTATTTTACACAAGGTCTCATATATCTGAGACTGGCCTCAGACTCACTATGTAGTTGAAGCTGGCCTTGAACTCACGATCCTCTTGTCTTTACCTCCCAGGTCTGGGATGATAAGTGTGTCATCACACTCATCCTAGAGGGTATTCTATAAGAGAGAAATATACCATCATATATAAAATATCTGCACAGACATTTTTGAAAATAGTGTTCATTACAGTGAGTGGAATGATACTGAAAGGAAATAGCTCCCAACAAGTTCAAATTCTAAAACTATTGTAGTTTATACCTCCAAACAAACATATATCTATCTCTCTGCAATAGATATTTAAGCATTGGAGTTTTCAGCTTTGAACATTCTTACAGTGTTTCACATCATGAGTCTTTGGAATGTTTTTTTAAAAATCTTACAATGTTATAGGAACATTTCCTTTTAGAAAGAAGACATAGAGGGCTGGAGAGGTGGCTCAGTGGTTAAGAGCACCGGCTGCTCTCGCAGAGGACCTGGGTTCAGTTCCCAGTACCCACATAGTGGCTAAGAATGATCTGTAACTCTAGTTACAGGGGATCTTCTGCCCTCTTCTGGCTTCCACAGGCATTGCATGACATCGGTACACTTACATATCCACAGGCAAAGCACGCATAAAAGAAAGATAAATGAAGAAAGAAGACATAGAATTCTAATTAGACATTGAAATATATATCATGCTTTAGATTTTTCTTACATCTTAAAGGAATGAGTTTGAAAGTATTCATTATTCTTTTCCCTATTTAAAGGTATTCTCAATGTGTCTGTGTGGGAAAAATAAAACAAAAACAAAGCCTCTTCTCCTTTGTACTTTCTTCATGAGCTTTTACCTGAGCCCACAGTTCCAACTCCAATTGTATATTCCAAGTGTGTTTTCCATCCAGGACTGGATTAAAGTGGCAGAGATGTGAATTTATGGCTTGGCTCTGGGGGGTGGGTTTAATAAGATGTGATTGGGCACAGGCTCATTACATGGAGTGCTCCATGACAGATGAGTGATTTAGCTCACCAGAAGGGAAAAAATCAGTTCCTATTCCCAGGAGCTTACAACTGGTGACCAACACATGATGAAATATAGAAAACTAGTGAACAGCCATTTTAAAGTTAGATATAATATCCACAGTCTGGTTTGCTTAGAGTGGGTTTGTGTTAGGGAGCAGATCCATTTCGAGCATCAGCATTCAAATGTCTAGAGACAATTTGGAAAACCAGTGAAGAACTGGAACCCTTTTATTTCAGTCTCCAAGTTGCTAAACTTTTACTGGCCACCATTCATGTCCTGGAGATACGTAGCAACAACAACTTAAGAACAAAGGAAACTAACCGGTGACTTTTCTGGAAGGTTTTCAAGCACACATGCGTGGTTCAGCTCTTAGAATGTGTGAAACTCAACTATAGAATGTAAGAAAGAGAGAAGCTTATTCCTGTGGGTCAAGATCATGACTTTCATTGAACTGTTGTTAGAGTATCTTTTCTAGGTCACGCTATTCCCTGTCTTGCCCCATCACAGTTTGCTCTTCCGAGTGGCCAAAACCGAGGATGGTAGTCGGGAGGGAGCAGATAAGCTCTTCTTTTTCTCTAAAAGGGGTCATTAGAAATTCCTATGAGCAGCAGTGCCCACTATCCACATGAATGTATCACTAGCTTTCATTCAATTTAAAGACCACCGGGATCTTTCTCCTCCCACAAGCACTCACGGTCTTCATGTGTTTTCATTTCAGTTGCGGCGAGTGGTCCTGTGGCAGAAGAGTGCACTGTGGACATCGAGATCAGTTTTGAAAATGTCTCCTTTCTGGAGTCTGTCCGAGCTCACTTGAACAGCCTCAGTTTTCCAATTCAAGGAAACAGCACTGACCCAGCCACTGACATTTTGAGCATAGCAGTGACAACAGGTGGGTGAGACATTCATTGCTTAAAAGTGGATGATTGGACGTTTTGGGAGAAAGGCTGACCAAGGCGTTTTCTGTTAGAGCACATTTATACACGGGAGGCAAAGGAAATGACTCAGCAGGTCTATTATGTGATTTTGTGGCCCCACAGACTCCTAGAATGAACTCCCTATCACTAAATTCTATAGCCAGATTTGTCTTATTTTAATGATGAGCAGAGGTTTATTTGGTGGTTATCATAAAGTGGCTCCAAGATATGGCCTATGGCCATACCCTTTATGACAAACTTCTGGATGCTCATTCCTTGAGCAATGTGTGTGTAGAGCGAGGGCTGGCTCGGCATAGTAGTAAGAAGTTCTCTTCTTTGGGGCATCATAGATCAGGAACCAGGACATACCTGGATGTTAAAGGTATGAAGCAAAATCCTCCCAGTCATGGTTGAATTTTCTGGTTGTAGATTCCCTTCTAAAGTCATGCCAGTTCTTGTTTGGCCCAGGATACCAGCCCCAGAGAGTTGGTGTCCTATCCGTGCTATGAGACGAGGTTGCCCTTTGTCCTATGAAAGCTTTGCTTTGTAGATTGGAAAGCACTGATGGATGTTTGGTTTTATTGTTCTAAAATAAAGTCAAGAATAAAATTTTGGAGTTTTTTCAAATTCTTTTTGAACTTTTATATTTTAAATGGTATATCTTCATGTCTGTGTATGCACTTTAAAGATTTATTATTATTATTATTATTATTAAATTATTTGGGTTTTTTTGAGACAGGGTCTCCCTGTAGCCACAACTGGCCTGGAACGTACTATGGAGTTGTTTTTATTTTATGTGTCTGTGTGTGTGCCTGAATATATGTATATGCATCACATACGTGCAGACATCTTTGGAGGACAGAAGAGGGTTTTGGATCCCTAGAACCTGGAGTTATAAGCAACTGTGAGATAGCTCATGTGGGTGCTGGGAACCAAAACCAGGTCCTCTACAAGAGATGCAACCACTCTTCTGAGCCATCTCTCTAGCCCCAGTGTAGGCACCTTAATTTTTGATTCTGACTAGATGCTATCTGAGTCTGGTATAGGTCTCTTTGGATGTCATTTCCCACTCAGTTTCCCAGTTCTATGAATAGTAGTAGCATTAATGTCTTGGAGTCAATGACTTTTCCAAATGGACACAGATGTGCAATGTGAGTTCTCCAACCCTGATGAGCTCATGCTGTGTTTCCCAAATGCTTTGTGCATAGAACTCTTGTATAGAACATCTTACCTAACTGGTTAATTTGAGGGTCTCCAACCAAATCTCTTTTGGTGTCTCCATAGGGAACACCCTTCTATGTTTCCACTCAACCCAGATCCTCTGCCTCTGAAATCATTTCCTCCAATTATGGAGGAAAATTAAATACTGGCTAATTTTTTAGACAATGCTGTTCATTTCCTAATTTTTTCTGAAGCTCTGTGATATTTATGCTGTAGTCAAAAGCAAATCCACTGAATAAAAGAGACTAAGAGTATCAGACCAATATGTAAGTAGTTTTTATCATTAAATATCATGTGAATGGATCCTTGGGATTAAGTTGTGTATTTATGTTGTATGTACTCAAGGCAAACATATGGACAAAATCTCCCTACTGTTTTTCCTTCTGCTAGAGGTAATGTGACCTCCAGGGGCTACACTATCCACATTATTTTATAAATATGGGTCAACACGTTTCTCTTTTAAAATACAATTGCCTTTGGAAAGTTTGTTATCATTCAGGTAGATTAGTGATTCCCACATGAAGGAGAGAGTTCTTTCTTATTTATAACTGTGAAAAGAGGTTTGACAAAATGGGTGCTTCGATATAGCACCAAGAGCTAGAGGCTTACAGACCTCAGGACAAGTAGGGGACAGCCAGGGAGAGCTGGGGCGGCTAGAGGTAATGTGACCTCCAGGGGCTACACTATCCACATTATTTTATAAACATGGATCAACAAGTTTCTCTTTTAAAATACAATTGCCTTTGGAAAGTTTGTTATCTTTCAGGTAGATTAGTGATTCCCACATGAAGGAGAGAGTTCTTTCTTATTTATAACTGTGAAAAGAGGTTTGACAAAATGGGTGCTTCGATATAGCACCAAGAGCTAGAGGCTTACAGACCTCAGGACAAGCAGGGGACAGCCAGGGAGAGCTGGGGCAGGTGTGTAATTAAAGCTAATTAAAGCTAGACTTACTGACTATACTACTCATGTCCAAGAATTTGTATTGTCTCCATCCCCCTCTTCCCAGACTCTTCTCCTCTCCAACTTCCAACACTCACCTCATGATCCTTTCGAGAAAGGCAGTTTTAGTTATTGAGTATGTAGGAGGCTAGACAATATGTACAAAGCAACTGAATAATACCTGGACTAAAATAGGTAGTTTGGAGACGGTGGCCTTTGCCATCCCTTAAGTGTATATGTTTGTACTATACGCAGAAGCCAAGAGCCCTTTAAGTACTTCCCTTTATTACCTCTTCCCAAACAAATAACCAAAGAAATCATTTTCACAATGGAATTTCAGGCCAGTAAGAAGGAGATTTTTGTTGCATACCCTCAAATTATGGCCCAACTGGAACCTGCCACCCTTACTATGAATTCTTACAGAAACCAATGTGTCTGAGCTTTCCAACCCACCTGGGGCAGTGACTGCATCCACTTCCGAAGGATCACTGTTTGATGGCTTTCCTTTGATAGCCATCCTCTCAGCACCCATCTGCAAATCATCTTCCCGGGATGTTTCTTTGGTCTAGCTTTAGAAACTGATTCAAAGCTCTCTATTTTCAGAATTGTTGCTTTTTAAATGTCCCCATGAGAACAGAGTCCATTTGGGTTGTATTCATTTGGCTTGAAATGTAAGACAAATTTATTTGCATTCTATATTTGCAATATATTGCTATGTAACAAATTTCTCCAAGCCTTAGCATCAGAGAATAATGGATATTGCTATCTTGAAGTTTCTGGGGGTCAGGAATCTTTTTGTCTTTTTGAGCCAGGGTCTCCCTGTAGCCCCAGCTAGCCTGGAACTCCCTATATAGACCAGTATTTGCCTGCCTCTTCCTCATGAGGGCTGGGATTAAAGGTGTGGACCATCATGGCTGACTCCAGGTCAGGAATCTCAGAGTTGCTTAGATGGGTGGTTCTGATTCAGGGGCTTTCTTCTGAAAGTGCTAATGGACTGGAAAATTCACTTTCAAGTTCACCCAGGTGGTTATTGACAGACCACAGTTTCTTACTAGTTATTGTCTAGAGACTCAGTTTCTTACCATATGGACTCTCCCTGACAGATCTTCACATCATGCAGCCAATGCCCCCAGAAGAATAGAGGGAGGGGAGAAGAAGGGAGAGAAGGGAACGAGAGAGATAATTATAATAATACTGTCATCACTTCTAACATATTTTATGAGAGCACCACCAAAGGCTGTGAACTTCTAGAGGCAGGACTGCTCAGCGGCCATCTTGGAAACAGTTGCCTTATACTCTGTATCAGGGGATCTGCTCATGATCATGGTCATATGCTACAAACTATGACTAACCAAAAGATGATTCCACAGTCCTCAGACACTCAACAGTCACTCCATAATTACCTTTCAGATGGCCTGGCCTAATGACCTGGTGATGCATATGTGTCTCCACGAATCCCATGCAATTCTGTTGTACTTTCCAGAAGGACAATGTGGAGTTGAGTTAGGATTTTCTACAAGTTCGGTACTTGCTGTCTACAAGTACAAGGGTGATGACTGTCTTCTTTCTCCTCACTCTTCCGGTTGCTGACAGTCTGCAAACCTGCTGGAAATGAGCTCCTGTGCTCCTGTGAGAAAGGCTACGCATGGCCTTGGGACACGTGCCTCCACAATCCCACATGTCAAGAGCCTGACAGCACCCTCTCAGGCCTCTACTGCAGTTGCCTTAAAGGACTCCCTCCCCAGGGACCCTTCTGCCAGCTCTCAGAAGGTACAAAGTTATTCTGTAAAGATTTGTTGAGTTGGGTATTCGACTTTAGCACTAGCAAATATTTCTGTATTCTGTCTGTATTCAAATAATAATGAAATACTGATTATTTTTCCCTGTGTTTTTCAGCATATATTACCCTAAAAATCAAAGTCAAACTGAATGTGGGATTTCAAAATGACCTTAAGAATACGTCCTCTGCCCTCTATAGGTCCTACAAGACTGACTTGGAAAGAGCGGTAGGTTTTTGACTTGATTTGCTACCCTCTATTCAGAGGTCCATGAACCTGGTCCAGGTGGTTCAGGTCTTCCAGCATCACAGTTGAGAATCATAATATCTTTTGGGTAGAGTAATCCAAGCTTGAGCACACAGGGCTTCAAACCTCTTTACCCCACAGGCCACTGGGCATTTACACTAAAGACAGTTTATATTTACTCTGATAAAAATAGAGAATTTTCCACAGGTGTTAACTGACTTCCAGATGCATACAGTGCTCACCATTAGATTAAGTCATTTAAAGGTGAATGCTTTGCTTAAGTTAACTGTTTTGAAACACAGCTTCCGAGCTGGTGTGATGAATTTCATTACTCATGGGCTGAGATGATGGCTTCCCATCAACTCCCAGGGCAGCCAGGCCCCTGCCTCAGGACAGGAGAAGCCTTCTGTCCATTCCCATGTGCTACATAAGTACTGTCATTTTTTATGGTGTCTTGATGAAATGTTCATTCCAAAGAGCCCTTGGACATCTGATTTGCCTCTCTGGCATGTGGTAATTCTACCCAGCAGACCACTCAATAAATGATATACTTTAAAAGAAAAGCAGGGTTATGTAACAGTCTTTGAGTCCCACGCACTGAGGAACATGGCTTGGTGCATGCATCACAGTTGTCCTGGTGTCCTAGTTTCATTTCTGTTGCTGTGATAAAATATCCTGCCCAAAAACAATTTAAGAGAGGAAAGAGTTTATTTGACTTATAATTCCAGTTCACAGTCCATCATTTAGGGGAAGTCAAGGCAGACAGTCAGGCAGCTAGTTGCATCACATTCACAATTGAGAGCCAAGAAAAATGAATGCACCACGGTGCCTGCTTCTTGCTGCTAGCTTTCATCGAGTTTTCTCCTGTCTCACATGGCTTAGAACCCCTTGTCCAGAGAATGGTACTGCCCCAAATAAGCTGGGTCTTCCCACATCAATTAACAATCAAGACAATCTAACATAGACATGCCTACAGGGCAACCTGATCCACGCAATACCCCACTGAGGCTCTTTGTTTTTCAGGCTGTGATTCTAGGTTGTGTCAAACTGACATTTAAAACCAACCATTGTTCCTAGTAACGTAACTTAGATAAGAAAGAACCTCCTGGGAAGGGGTCGGTATGCAGAGGAACATGTAGCAAACACAATGTGGAAAGCCAAATTCGCTTAACCAGGGTCCCATTGGCATTGAGGGAGGGAACGGGTGGCCCTGAAGCTGTTACTGCCTCCAAGACCTCAACCGTTGGGCTGTGGTTGAGTAAGTAAGGGTCCCCAGGGCCGCCTCAGAAACTCATGAGCAAGAGCTCTGCTCCCTACCTCAGAATGAGCACAGTGCTCTGTGTTGGGTAGACATGAGGACTCCTTGGAAAAACCCTCGAATGCCCTTGGAAAGTCTTACTGAATCTTCCTAGGCTCTGTGGAAGATGTGCTGTTCAACCCTTCCTCCCTCCCTCCCTCCCTCCCTCCCTTCCTCTCTCTTTTACTTAGGGTTTGACTCCTCTCTTTGCCTTCCCCACTACCTCTTTTTCTCCTCAGTATTTCCATGAAGAATTTTTCACACACTTAAGCTAGTGTCTGCTTCTCTAAGAACCAAGACTGACACAAGTTGTTGGAAATCACTTGTTCAAAGTTCTGCCAATGTCAGCACCTATAGAATATATAGAAGAAAATTTTACCTAGAGTGACAGGGAATACGGGTCAACTTTCAGTATCTCTCACCCATCTCTGAGACATGATACTTGCCTTATTTTCCAGTTCCGAGAGGGTTACAAAACTTTACCAGGATTCAGATCTGTGACCGTGATGCAGTTCACGTAAGAATGCTATAATTTGTTCATTTCCCTATTAGAGCAAAACCTAAAACGTCAGTGAAGGAGAAAAAGCATTATTGGGGTACCATGTGGGGTGCTCAGCAGGAGCAGTCTGGTAGAAGTGAAAACTAACACCAGACCGTAGTGGTTAGCCATTAAGAAGTCTCTTCCCTTTGTAGATGGAATTATTTAGAAGGAGCTCCCAAGACGTGTTCATTTTGTGTATGAAAAGAATGTCGAAAGCAAAAGACACAGCTGTAGTCCCAAGAGGTTGAAATACTAAAGTGAATCACGTCATATAGCCATGTCCATTCATTTATTTTTATTTGATGTGTCTAAGTGTTGTGCTTGCACATTTATAAGTGTGCCACATGTGTGCAGTGCCCCTAGAGATCAGAAGAGGGCATCAGATCCCCTGGAATTGGATGTTACTGATGGCTGTTAGCTTCCATGTGCGTACTTGGGAACCAAATCTGGGTCCTCTTCAAGATCAGCCAGTGCTTGTAACTGCTGAGCCATCTCTCCAGCCCTGGCTGTTTTTATGCTAGAAGATTCTACCAGCCAGGCAGTATCACAGGTTTCCTGGTGCCCTGTAAATGGTTATCCTGAAGTTGAGTGCCCTGGCAGCCCTGAGCAGGTTTGCACATTATCTTAAAAGGCTTGGCTGCCAGTGTCAAAAATCAGAAATGCACAGGAACATCCAAGGTCCCGGCTTCACCTAACATTCAGTGTATCTGGTAACCCTGGGTTACCTGTGTGATACTAGCAAGTTCTCTGCTGTGCCTGCCTCCCCAGGACCACCTGGTGTGATTCAATTCACTGGTCCCCATCTGATCACTTTTCTTATTTATATTCTAGTCTATAGACATTTGGATCCACAAGTCCTGCCTTGGGCTTTCATTTGGAGTTTGAAGACAGGCTTGTTTTAGTTATTCCCTGGGGATGATAATGCCTAGCTGGCTCCTGCTGCTTTGTTTTCTCATGCAAAGAAATCGCAGGGATCTAGACTCATCCAGGTCAATTACTGCTTTACTGAATTGAGTGGTCTTTATACAGCGAGGGCAGTGTGGTTGTGGACTATGCAGTCCGGGTTACAACATCACCGCTACCTGGGTCAATTCACAAAGCCAATGAACAAGTCACTCAGAACCTCAACCAGACTTACAGAATGGACTACAGCTCCTTTCAAGGAGTGCCCAACAGTAAGTAGAACCTTCCTTTATTATCCTGCACGTTCATTTGATTTAGGCATGGTGGTGGCGCTGATTGATTCTAGGAAATCTACCAGAGTTACCTGCACATCCATGTTTATTGCTGTACTATTCACAATAGCAAGGAAATGGAAGTCAGCCTAGATGTCCATCAACAGATGAATGAATAATGAAAATGTGATATAGTGCACACAATGGAATTTTCCTCAGCTCTCAAGAAAAATGAAATTGTGAAACTTTCAGGAAAATGGATTGATCTAGAAAGCATTGCATTAAGTGAGATGATCCAGATGCAGAAAGACAAAAATTGCATGTTCTCAGTCATATGAGGATCCTAACTTGTCCTATTTGTATGCAAGTAAATAAGGTGTGTGACAGTGGGAAGAGACTGTGAAACGTGACAGGGGACCACGGATGGGAACAAGAGGTATTAAGGAAGTCGATGGGGGAGGGCCAAAGGACACACTTGAAGTGAACCTGGAGAGGAGCCTACAGGGAGTGGCAGGGTCGAAGTGGGCAAAGAGGGATGAGGAGAGAGGAGAATCAACAAAAACAAACTTTATTTGAAGATTCCATAATGAAATAGAATACATTGCATGCTAAAAAATGGAAAGGAAAGACACCTAGGGAATTGCTGTGATGTTCCTTGCTATGGAGGCATGAAGCATCGCATGTTGTCTCCCCTCTTTGGCTAGTATTTCTGCACCTGGGTAGTGGAGGCTACAGGAACAGGAATTTATAGTGGGGCCACAAGACCATAAGGGTTCATGTTTTTTATGTTTACATATTCAAAATACCATAAAAGTAAGGTTAGCATTGAGGTGGATCTGGCAACATTCACAACAGGCACCATTACTAAATAGAGTGCCATTGTTTCAGAGGCCTGTGTCTTAGAATGTATCTCTACTCATTCACCTACCCTCTTCCACAGACTGTAGTTCACCCCACCCCAGAGGTTCTGAGACATGAGGGTTCTTGGGAGCTAGATCACATATAACAGCGATGGTAAATCCTACAATTTAGATGTTCTCTTTCACAAATGGGGTTCAGGCTTGGGCTTTGGTGTGTCCATAGGTGATGGATTCAGTGTTATTCAGAGGGCAAAAGCAGGGCAGGATGGAGCAGGTAGATGCTGAGGTCAGCTCTTGAGACCCTGAGAGGCAGCGCCTGACCAGTGGGCAGTGCCCCTAGCTCTCATCTGCTGTGGAATCCTCACACCTTTCCTTGGGATTTTCAGATGAAACCAAGTTCACCGTCACGCCAGAAGTCATCTTTGAAGGGGACAACGTAACTCTGGAGTGTGAAAATGAAATTGTGTCTTATAATGTGTCTTGGTACTATGGAGAAAATCGCTCTGACATCCAGAACAGCAGCAGATTCTTGATTTACACCACGGTCCTCAATAACATGAGCTCAGTGTCCCGCCTCACCATTTACAACTTCACTGAGCATGATGCAGGTGGGTTTCTGCTCAGGGACTCCTGTGAGAAAAGCAATGGTGTGCTCAGAGAGGTAACCCCTAGAACGTGGAGGCAGTGGCAGGGGGTGCTGTCGTCACAAAGAAGCTGCATAGCTCATGTTTCAAAATAGCAACTTCAGCTCATCAAATTTCTTTGTGTGTACGTGTGTGTGTGCTTGTATGTATGCACACACAAGCACACACATACACACACACCATTTTTCCCAGCGTTTTTTTTTTGGTCTTTTTGAGACAAGGTCTCCCTGTAGCCCCAGCTTTCCTGGAACTCACTGTGTAGACCAGGCTGGCCTTGAACTCACAGAGATTCACTTGCCTCTGCCTCCTGAGTGCTGGGATTGAAGGTGTGCACCACCACGCCCGGCTCCTTCTCAGCTTTTTATGTGGGTGTTGGGGATCTGAACTCTGGTCCTCATGCTTGCAAAGTGAACACTTTATCCATTGAGCTGTATCTCAGTCATACGTGATACTCATTTTTAATGACTTTTAAAATTTAGTTCTTTATTTTCATGTTTTTGTACAGCATGAAGTACTGTTATTATTGTGAATTTTAAATAGTCAATTATAAAAATTTAGTTTGTTGAGATAAAATTGACATATAACATACTGCACATATTTTAAGTCTACAATTAAGGCCAGCAAGATGACTCAGCATGCAAGGGAACTTGCCACTATGCCTGATGATCTGAGTTTGATCTCTAGGACCTCCATAGTAGAAGGAGAGAACCAATTCCAGTATATTATCCTCTGACTTCCACACCTATGCCTATGCTATGGTCTGTTCTTCTCTCTCTCTCTCTCTCTCTCTCTCTCTCTCTCTCTCTCTCCTCTCTCAGTAAATAGATAAATGTAATAAAATTTGTTTAATATACAATTTATTATGTTTTTACATGTATACTTAAACACCAAGATGGTGACTAGATCCATTCTCTCCAAATGTTTCCCCATGGCACTCCTTTCTCTCTTTGGCCTTCTCCCATTCTTCTGCCCACTCCAAGCAACCACAAAAATGTAAATTTTAACTCCCCAGAGATTAGTGATGAGTGTGACATGGTCTTGTATTTAGTAACTAATTTAAACCAGATTTGAATAGGAGCATTTCTTTTTCCCAGCACAAGAAGGTAAGCTGTAGTCATGTGGGCTCAATCGCATCTGTGTAGATTCTGATTTTACTATAGGCTAAATAGGATTTGAGAATTCCCACGAGCCTCTAATTCTTTCCGGTTCACCCACTTTAATTTCCTATGTCTTCTAATCCCATGCTTCTGACCAGAAAAGTCCCCAAGATTGTCACAATCAGGACCTCTCTCTGGTTTTCATCTTGTGTCATCAGACTTTTCTGTATTGACACTTCCCAAATATTCTTCTGGCATCCTCTGACCAAGTCTCAGATGCTTTGCAATGATACTTCAGGACCTACAGCCATCATACACAAGATGAGGCTGTTATCTACCAAGGGAAATTCATACAAGTAATAATAATTAATTCTCTTTTATATTCGTTGCAGGTGAATATGCTTGCAAACTGATATTGGATATTTTTGAATATGGGACCACTAAAAAAATAGATGTGACACCCATTCGGATTTTGGCCAAGGATGAAAGGAAGGTGGTATGTGACAACAATCCTATATCGTTGAACTGCTGCAGCGAGAACACTGCAAACTGGAGCAAAATTGAATGGAAGCAGGAAGGGAAAATAAGCATTCTAGGTAAGAGTGGTACAGCGAGACCTTTGCAAAGAGGGCTTTCTTTGCTTGTATCTTGGCCAAGGAAACATGGGAGATGTGATGGGAAGAGGTGGAAATGTCTTAGGGTGTTTATTGTGGACCATAAAAAAGCAATGATTTGATGCCAGCTCCAGCTTAGCCATTCTGCAAAAAATCATAAATGCGTGCAAGCAAGCATCATGCTTAGGTTGTGGACAAGTCTTCTCTGTAGGAGAAGTCTTGAGAGGGGGTGACCTCAATGACTTAGGTCCATGGCATCACCCATCTGTAGAAAAGCTTGTCCTACCTTCCTTTCTTTCCCATCCTCAGCAAAGATGTAAGGATGATGTCACTGACGTTCCCCTGAGGTCTGACTTCCGTTTCTGCTTGGTATCGCTCATTTCAGTTTTTTCTGTCTCTGTGTTTCCAGCTTTATATTTCTCTGCAGACCAATTTGTCTTTCAGTTGCTCCATGTCAATTTATAGTAATACATGTTTTTTCTGTGTATATGTATCTGTGATGTGTGTAGGTGTGTGTTTGCATGTGTGGGAGTGTATATATGTGTGAGTGCACATGTGTGCATGTGCATGTGGAGGCCAGAGATTGACAATGAGGGTCTTCCATGACTGCTAGCCCTCTTGTATATTGAGTCAGGGTCTCTGACTTGAACTCAGAGCTCAATTGAGTTTGCTAGTCTAACTGGCCAGCCTGCTGCAAGTATCACGTCTCTTCCTTCTGCACTGGGATTACAGGCAGGCTGCCATACCTGCCTGGCATTTATGTGGGTGCTAGGGATCTGAACTCCAGTCCTCAAACTTGCACAGCAAATGCTTTACTCCCTGGTCTATCTTCCTAGCCCGCTCTTGTTTTCCCTGAGATTTGACCTCAAGTTCCCCAACTTCCAGTGTCTACTAATGATAAATCAGCAACAGTGACTCCATTTGCAGAACAATTTTCCGAAAGTATTAACCCATTTAAAAAAATATGTGATTGCTGGTCATCACATTTAAACTTGACTAAAAGTCTGAAAGTAATAGGTTTAAAGAAAACATTTTTGATTGATTTATTGACTTTTGATATGTATGAGTATTTGCCTGCAAGTAAGTGCATCGTGTTGTGCAATGACTGTGGAGGCCAGGAGATGGCATCAGACCCCCTGGAAATGGAGTTATGGATGGTTGGTTGTTAGTCATTCTCTGAATCCTCTCTGCCAGTACTCTTAACCGCTGAGCTATCTCTCCAGTCCCGAAACTAGTGTTTTTACCTCCATTAGGAAACTAAGGAAATTGAGGTACAGATTAAATAACTTGCCCTAGGTTATCACAATACTAAACAGAAAAGAACTAGGACTTCCCACTGATCTTCTTTCACAAGTGCACTTGTCTTTTGCAATGGTGTCCTTCATCCTAGTAGCCAGCATTAGATTGAGCTGCCAACAGTTTGGAGAGAAAAAGACTATTCTTTTTCCTAAATTTCATACAGAACCATAGCTATCTCTTCTCTTTAGAAACAACAGTATTATGTGCTAACTTTAAAGAGAGTCTTTGAACTAAAATGCGGCTGTATACATGAACTTGGCTAATGTGGTGAATTGCCTTTGCTATTGAACTATGTTGTGGTTGTATTTTTAAGTACAAAATGGTCAATGTGTGCCTACACTTCCCTGAGCACCTCTAATTTGAAAGACACATTTCACTTGTGGCATCTGATTAAACCTCCAAAGAACGGGAAAGGCATCTGGTAACTCTTGAAAATGTCTGCACGGACCATTTAGTCACATCCCTGAAGGAGCTGCCAGATGGGAGAAAGACCTTGCACAATTCCTGTGGCTCTGAAGAAGTTTTCCCCTCTGAGAGGGGACAGACCTTGCCCTCTGGCAGAGGAACCAGGAAGCCTGCAGTGCGGATGTTCAGGGACCTCTGTCTTTGGTCACCCCCTCTGCAGACACTCCTAAGTCCAGCAAAGTTGAACAGTTTACAGAACAATGGATTTCCTGTATAGCCTCTTATCCCCCATGCTGAACCCAGCCCCCAAAGCAGCTCAATGGAGTACTAAGTTCTACAATGAGGACCGCTGATTGATATACACAAAAGACACAGACATATCACATCACACCCACAGTCCTGATTTCTATGAAAATCCTAATCGTCGTCAAAGCTCAGAACAACTCCTGTTCCTCTGAAACTCTTCTTACTCTCCCTTTAACCTCCATACTATATCAGAGTCTCTTTTAAGGGAATCGATCCACCACACATTCTTATTTTGCACATTTATTTATGCCTTGCACCCTGCATTGTTTACTGACTTGCCTGTTGTGTGAAAAATTGGAATCTGATGAATGAATCAGAGTTTATAGTAGGAAGGGACAGGAAAATACAACAAGAAACACACTCACAGAAGTGTGAGACTGCAGGGCATGTTGAAGGCAAGGACGATGTGGCCTGGGTTTTGAGAGAGGGATGTTGAATATCATTCATAAGAAAGGAACAGATTGAAGTATGACTTTACTCTATACAATGGTAAGATTTTAATAGCCAGGCGTGGTGGCACACACCTTTAATCCCAGCACTCGGGAGGCAGAGGCAGGCAGATCTCTGTGAGTTCAAGGCCACCCTGGTCTACATAGTGAGTTCCAGAACAGCTGGGACTAAAGAGACCCTGTCTCCAAAAGACTAAAAAAAAAAATTAATAGGAAGATGGATGATCAGAGCCAACTCTTAGAAAACTAAACACTCACTGGAAGCCATGATGCCTACTTGTACTTCCAGCTCTTAGGAGGCTAAGGCAGGAGAGCCGGAAGTTCAAAGCCAGCCTGGACCACATAGCAAGTTCAAAGCCAGCTTGAGCTATATAGTGAGCGCATCCCTCAAAACCAAAATCAGGGTCTGAAGAGATGGCTCAGTGGTTAAGAGCACTGGCTGCTCTTCCAGAGGACCTGAGTTCAGTTCCCAGCACTCACATGACAGCTAACAACCATCTGTACCTCCAGTTCTAGGGCGCCCATGTTCTCTTCTGACCTTCAGGGGAATTGCACGACAAGGGTTAACTTACATACATGCAGGCAATACAGTCATGCACATAAAATAAAAAATAAACCCAGTCCAAAATCAACTCTAAAAAGAAAATGAAACTTTCAGGTAGTATAACCTAAAAGTTGAAGGGTCAAATAATTGAATATTAAGGCCCAGATATACTCATTTTTTTAGTTCATATAATAAATCTTGGGGTCTAAGTGAGCGACCTTGTGTTGACAGAAAAGCAATGTTTAAATGTATAATCTAAAATAGTTATTTTTTTAATGAGTGGTAGTACAATACGAGGAAATGCAGGTAATTAAAGATGCCGTTAAGATTTTAATTTGGGTCGTTGCCAACAGCGGCGAGAGGAAATACTGGATATGCAGGTTTTGTCTGGGGAAAAATAAATAAATTGCACGTGTTGAGTTGGAGATACCAGAGATGTCAAGTCAACACTTGGGAATTTGCCTCAAAAGTTTCCAACCCGGGTGTTTCTCTTAGAGTGGTGTGGGAAGTCAATCAAGCACAGTTTCTACTAGAAGGCGTAGCTGTCTTCAGAGTGACAGAGTGAAGGAAAGATGAGGAAGGGGGGGTAACAGCAGAGACCAGTATCATTGGCAGACAACAACTACATTCAACGAGGAAGCTTGGAAGAGGGGTCTGGAAAGGAGGCACAGGAAGGATGAGGATGGAAGAGATAAAGGAACGACCTGGGGATTCAAGCAGCCGCAGAAGGCAATTGGCTTCAGGGAGGTTGCAGTTCAGGTAACATGAAGAAAAGGCCTTGAATGGGAGAAAGAGGTGGTCCCTGTTTATCTTGCAGGAACACTTGTGATATAGGGTGATAAAGATCAGTTTCAAAGCTGTACTGAAAAATGGGCTTAGGAAACTGGAGGTAATGAATGCAGAAACATTGTGAGCCCCTATCTGAAGAGAAATAACAAGGAGATTGAAAACAAGGGAGGAAGGAGAAAGGTGGGGAATAGAGGAAGGTTCTGGAGGAATTAGAGGAAGTGTCTGCTGTGTGCCCTACCTCCAAGGGAATGGGTTTATTGTGGAGCCAAATATAGGTGATCATGGTCCAGGAACACAAATTCAAGTTACTTAAAATATCATGTTCCAATGTGATTACCATTTTGTGAAGTTTTTAATTAATAGAACAGAGACAGTCACACATTAAGGCTTTTAAAATTTTTTTCTTTATTATTTTTATTTTTATGTGTATGAGTGTATTGCCTACACGTGTGTATGTGCACCTGTGTTGTGAAATGCCCACGGAGTGTCTTGGATCCCCTGGAACTGGAGTTACAGATGGTTGTTAGCAGCCATGTGGGTGCTGGGATTTGAACCCCAGTCCTCCACATAAGCAGCCAATGCTCTTAACCGCTGAGCCATCTCTCTTGCCACATGAAGGCATTTAAAAAATACGTTGAGGGAAACATCAGGTAGGAGGAGGGTTACAGCAGAGTGGGAAGCCTCTGTTACAGACCTCTGGTGCTGTCTGATGTTATCGTTAGCCTTTGAGTTGGTAGAAACTAGAGGTCTGTTTGTATATTCCCAAAAGGATTTTGCCTAATAGTTACAGGGATGTTAGGTCACACACAGAGGTGGGCAATAAACGGCAATTAAGGGGGCTTAAGGTAGCTCAACACAATTTGACTTCAGATCTGCAACATTCTAGCTCTCTACAGTCACAGATGTTCTTCTCAGTCAATCAGTATTGTACAATCTTTAAGACAAAGGTGGCTTTTTTTCTGGGAAAGTTCATAAAAGGAGGACTGAAGGAGGACCTTAATGAGGGTAGAGATGATTTTGTTGCTTATTGACGCTTGAGTTAGGAAATAATTTTGTCAAGGTAAAAGAACAGGGAAATGTTGTGAGTGATTTGGAAATGTTTTGAATGATTTGAACAGCCATTTGGGGACCAAGGTATAAAATCTGGTCATATGACAATCAAAATAACTCAAGATAATTGATCAGACAGAGATGAAAAATGCATTTATTTTGGCAACAACCAAGGTTTATTCTTTGTCTTTCATTCTGGGGTGGTAAGACGTATTTAAAGTATTTCTTAGGACTCTGGAGAGCAGATGAGGTTGGGGGAAAAGAAAACGGGGGGTGGAGTAGGCAAAGGTCACACACAGGGCTGTTCTAGAACCCTAGGCAAGAGGTAAAGATGGCTTGGAGGGTGGGATGTGTCTGGGAATGAAAAGGGAGCGGATTTGGAAGCGGGAACTAACAGCATTTGAAAAAGTATGAAGTTGAAATGTCCACTAAAAATTAACTTGTACTAAATCAGAATTAGCCAACCACAACCGGGAAAGAATTGCTTGTCATTTCAGGAAACCCAGAAACAGACCTAGACTCCAGCTGCAGCACCTACACCCTCAAGGCAGATGGAACTCAGTGTCCAAGTGGGTCTTCTGGAACCACAGTCACTTACACGTGTGAGTTCATCAGTGCCTATGGAGCCAGAGGCAGTAAGAACATCGCCGTGACATTCACTTCTGTGGGTAAGAATTCTTGCACTAGAAGTTTTAGCTACACATATGTTACACTTGCCAAACAGCTAGGATTATATACGGGCAAAATGAAGCCAGCATTCCCTGGAGATTTCCCTCTATGCCATTTGAACTCAGATGGAATCTTTTGAAAACTGGGGATAGTTCAGGTGGGAAAGAGTGGCTACAGTAAGCTCCAAGTGCAGTGTCCTGGTAGAGAAGCCCTTGGGCTGGGAGAATAGTGCCATGATCAGCTTATTTTGGTGGTCATTGAATTCATAATGACAGCCAACCCCTTCCAGTCCAGAATTCAATTCTTCTCTCCTTAAATCCCACCAGGCTCACTCACTTCCATACCCCTCAATTCCCTCTACTTTCCCTCTTCTCCCATTCCACCCAGTCTAGAAATAACACTGCAGAAAGTATTAATATAGATCATTTGTCATTGTTTTGTAGTTATCAAAAATATTTTCCGTGTCTCAGTTCAGTTTAGGGAGGCCCCTGAAAGGATCATTTCTCCTTACATCAAAAGCATTATAGTTTCACCCATAACTACAAAACACCTCACATCTACCTTAAAAAAAAAAAAAAAATTGAAACTCCTTTTGAAAAACTTAAAGGCCTGATGAAAGCAACACCCATTCCTCTTTTACTATTAGGACTTAGTATTTGTACAAAGATCAAGATCAGGTTCATGTGGGTCCACATCATCAGCACAGCTCTCCAAGTTAGAATAGGAATGCACAGTTGATTTCACTAAAGAAAACTGCAAAGTGTCCCGAGTCTCCCAGAGCTCACCTAGGGCGAACACATCTGCTCCCTCTCCAGATTGCCGGGTATCTGCAATACCTGGACATAGCATAGAAGCATGGATGAACTGCTGAAAACCACTTGTCTTGTCTGGATCATTCTAAAAATCAAGAGAGCCAGATTCCTGGTTCCATGAGGCTATTCTTTCTACTGAGAAGTGACTAACCTTTAGAGAGCCATTTCAAGACACCTCCAGCCAGGGAGGGCAGTGTGAGAGACACATTGTGTCATGTGTAAGTGATTTGGTGGTGAACCCCAGCATTTGAACCCTGACTATAACACTGTAGAAAGCACTGGTATCTTTCAATTATCATTAATAAGATTTCACACTGACTGTACAAGCAAGCCAGCATTGGTAGGCTCAAGATACCAGGTCATTCACCTAAAGATGACTGAAAAAAAAAAAAAAGAGTCTTGGAAATATCAGTCGTGTAAAAGATACACTCCCAGAGAAGTGTAAAGATAGAATGAGAGAAAAATAAACAGTTGATGTTCATATAAGCTTCTGCAATCATAAAGGTCTCAACATTTTCAACAAATAAATTTTCTTGAATGTATGAGTGACTTCCCAGAAAAATAATAAATACCTAATTAATTATAACCATATAACTTTAGTTACAGGATTGTATATAGTTATAGTGATATAAATAATAGTGAGGTGCCTATATATTACAGTCTGCCTGAAATAGTCCAAGCATAATTATTTGGACAATAAACATTATGATTCCCCTCCTGAAAATGTAGATCTGGAATTTATTCTCTTGTTTATTAAGCACTATCTGTATACTAGGCCAACGCTGAATGCTAAGGATACAATGAAATAGGAGCAAAAGGCTGGCCCTGAAGATCCCTGTTGTTTGGGGAGATATAGAAAGAAAAGTGAAGATGCGTCACAGGCGTGTGGCATTGGTGGTGCAGTGGGGAGGTGTTGGGGGTACAGTGGAGAGCTCAGCTGTCTTCCAGGATACACTGCACTATTATGGAAAAGTATTTTGAGTTGAAATGAAGTTGTTGCAAGAATCCAGCCCTCTATTCTCCCTTGAGGTGTCACAGGAGGTTGGAGGGGAACTTGGGTTAAGTCTACATCCCTAAGTTTGCAACCTTTTGCCCTGCTGATCATCAGGAGATAATACCAGCTACAAAGGGGACATGCAAGAGGTCCTAAGGCACGTGATGGGAGTGAGTACAGTTCAGAGCATCACCAGGAACAGCCTAGAGACAAGTAAAGCCCAGGAACAGCAAGGTACCAATCCCGCGTTGACACTAGTAGAGTCAGGACGGTCCTTGTTACTGTCTGTCTTAAATTTCACTCCTGTGTCAATGTCATCAGAAAGACTAAACATCGGATTTGTTGTTGGTTTTGTCTTGTCTGTTTTGTTTGCATTCTTTCAGCCAACCTAACAATAACCCCGGACCCAATTTCTGTTTCTGAGGGACAAAGCTTTTCTATAAAATGCATCAGCGATGTGAGTAACTATGATGAGGTGTATTGGAACACTTCCGCTGGCATTAAAATCCATCAAAGGTTTTATACCATGAGGAGGAATCAGGATGGAGCAGAGTCTGTGCTGACAGTGAACAGCTCAACCCGGGAGTGGAATGGTGAGTGGCAGGCGGGCCCTGCATAGTGCTGTCTGGACCCCTGGAAATATGCAGTGACAGTTTCTGCCTATGCAGGGTCCATCTTGGGGCATGCCTGTGATTGCTATTTTACATCCACTGCTCTTCAGAGTGATATGATAGTCCTCTGGGGGAAGACATCACTGTTCTATCTTACAAATGTGAAAACGAGGCTCAGAAACAAGAATAAGCATATACAGGAATTAACATATACAGGTTAAGTTGTAGAGCTGGAATTGGAGGTAGTGTCCCTCATTCCAGACCTGCTGTTCTTGCCATCATGTTAACAGAGTTGTTTTTCAAAAGAACTTTACTAGGGCTTTTCAGTCAGAAAGTACTTACTTAGCAAGCATGAGGCCCTGAGTTTGAGCCCCAATACCCACATAAAAAGTCCAGCAGAGCAGTACATGCTTGCAATCCCAGCAGAAAGGAGGCTGAGATTCATGGATCCCCAGAAACAAGCAGATTATTTACCCCAGCCCATTTGGTGATGTTCTAAGCCAATGAGAGACTCTATCTCAAGCAAAAAAGTGAAAGTCACTGAGGCACAACACCCAAGGTTGTCCTCTGACCTCCACACATGTGGGCTTGCTCTCTTTCTCTCTCTCTCTCTCTCTCTCTCTCTCTCTCTCTCTCTCTCTCTCAGACACACACACTAACA